TGTGACAATAATAAATCGGATCAAATTAAATCAAAAATGCTACAAAAGATTACCATGCTATATAACCACCTTTTCTTAGCTTCCTATCCTTCTTGATGATAACCTAGACCCTAACTTTTTTACTTTAATGGCAAGTGCCAGATGTTGCATTCCAGATGCAATTTGATTGGTCACAAATACCAGTTTTGAAGCAAAACACACTTCATTCATACACCTTTGTCAAAATATAACAAAAAGAAAGAAAGAATAACAATTCTTTTGGAAACCTTAACAGAATAATGGATGATTATTCCAATATAGTAACATCCCAAACACACCCTTGGCATAGGCAAATTCAGTAAAATAGATTGTCTCACATGCAATTCTCCTGTCCAGGTGGAAAAAAAAATCAAAAGAAAACTCTGAGAGAGAGTTACAGAGAGAGATGTACTGCAGCTTCCAAACCCAACTTCAAGACCCCATCAACAGTTCCTGAAAAGCTAAAATCAGGAATCTTGGTTCTGTGGGAAGTTGACCCCACCCATTCAGACTGCTTCTATTGTTCTAACTCACCAATTATATTGTCTTTGAGCATGCAGTCAAACTCTTTTGAACCTGTCTAACTTTAGAGGGTTAAGTCTATAAGGATGTTGCTCAATTGAAACAGCATTTCCTATATCTACATCATGTGTAATTAGATTACTATCTCCCAGCTTATTTCCACAATACTCCCCATGTGATTGTAATAACTTTCAGATCATTTTGATTTTCCTCTGAAATGTAACTCAATAATTTGTCCCAATTTTTGAGAAATTTCTCATTGTCCAATTTAATTTGAGGAATGTCCAATTCAGAATCCTCTGAACTTGGTTCTTCACTCTGTATTGTAACCTTCTCCTTTTGTTTTCCTTCCCTATCAAAATACCTTTTGACTATAGTCACGTGACACACTCAGCTTTATTTCTATCTGGCATTCTTATTAAATCATTCACCTCACTCAATTTCCTTTTGATTTGATAAGGCCTATTAAAACTTGCCTTTAAATGTTCATCCATCACTGGAAGTAACACTAACACTTTATCTCTGCTAGCAAATTTGCAAATTTTTGATTTTGTCTGCTTCATAGAAACATCGAAGATAGGAGCAAGACGGGGCCATTCAGCTCTGAGCCTGCTCCGCCATTCTTCATGATCATGGCTGATCCTCCAACTCAATAGCCTAATTCTGTTTTCTCCCCATAACCTTTGATCCCATTCACCCCAAGTGCTATATTGAGTTACCTCTTGAATACATTCAATGTTTTGGCATCAACTACTTCCTATGATAATGAATTCCACAGGCTCACCACTCTTTGGGTGAAGAAACATCTCCTCATCTTTGTCATAAATGGTCTACCCCAGATCCTCAGTCTGTAACCCTCAGCTCTGGACACACCCACCATCGGGAACATCCTCCCTGCATTTACCCTGTCCAGTCCTGTTAGAATTGTAGAAGTCTCTATGAGAGCTCCCCTCATTTGTCTGAACTCCAGTGAAAGCAATCCCAACCTAGTCAATCTCTCCCCATACATTGGTCCCGCCATCCCCGGAATCCCCCGGTAAACGTTTGCAGCATTCCCTCGAGAGCAAGAGCATCCTTCCTCGGAAAAGGAGACCAAAACTGCACACAATATTCCAGGTGTGGTCTCACCAACACCCTGTATAACTGCAAAAACACATCACTGCTCCTGTACTCGAAACATCTTGCAATGAAGGCCAACATACCATTAGCCTTCTTTACTGCCTGCTGCACCTGCATGCTTATCTTCAGTGACTGGTGCACAAGGACACCCAGATCCTGCTGCACACTCCCCCTCTCCCAAATTACAGCCATTCAGGTAGTAATCTGCCTTTTATTTTTGCTTCCAAAGTGAATAACCTCACATTTATCCAAATTATACTGCATCTGCCATTGATTTGCCCACTCACCCAACCTGTCAAGATCATGCTGAAGGATCACTGCATCATCACAGTTCACCCTCCCACCCAACTTGGTATCATCCGCAGTCTTTGAGATGTTACATTTTGTTCTCTCATCCAAATCATTAATATATATTGTGACTAGCTGGGGTCCCAGTCCTGATCCCTATGGCACCCCATTATTTACTGCCTGCCAATTTGAAAGGACCCATTAATTCCTACTCTTTGTTTCCTCTCTGCCAACCAGTTTTCTATCCATCTCAATATGCTTCCCCCAGTCCCATGCACTTTAATCTTGAATATCTCTTACCCGGGACTTTGTCAAATGCTTTCTGAAAATCCAAATATACCACATCAACTGACTCCCCCTTGTCAACTCTACTGGTTACATCTTCATAGAACTCCAAAAGCTTTGTTAAGCATGACTTCTCCTTCAAAAATCCATGCTGACTCTCTCCGATCCTACCACTACTTTATAAATGCTCCACTATAAAGTCCTTGCTGATGGATTCAAGAATTTTCCCCACTACCAATGTCAGGCTCACTGGTCTATAATTCCCTGTTTTCTCTCTACCTCTCATTTTAAATGTTGGCTTCCTGTTTCATCAGATACTGTGATCAGGTACTTTTAAATGCTGTCTAGTCAATGCACCTGCTCTATTTAATCTTTCCCTAAAATGTGACACATAGTCCAAATGTGCAAATCTGAACTCTGACTCACCAATTTCTCCTTAATTAATTTCAGTGGTCCTCTTACCTCATGCTCAAAAACTAATTCAAATGGACTGAATTTAGTTGATTCATTAGGTGCATCCTTAATTGCAAAAGCTACAAATGGAATTCCTTTATCCCAATTCTCTTGACTATAAGCCATCATCACGGTCCTTAAAGTTTAATGCCATCATTTTAATACTTCCTGCAATTTTGAAGGACTTGCAGTGGATTTGAATTGTTTTATTCCTAAGCTATCCATGATTTCCTTGAATAATTTTGATGTAATATTTGACCTTTTATCTGATTGTATCTCTGTAGCTAGTCAGTATTTAGTAAAATAAAATGGAGTAACTCTTCTACAATCCTTTTAGCCATGACACTGCATAATGGAATGGCCTCTGGAAATCTAGTGTCACATCTATCATGGTCAACGAATACGGATTCCCACTTTGTTTTAGGTAGAGGTACTATGCAATCAATTAAGAATCTTGTAGAAGTTTCCTCAAATGTGAGAATGGGTATTAAGGGTGCTGGCTTTATCACTGCCTGAAGTTTTCTAATTACCTGACACATATGACATGTCCGGCAGAGTTCTTATGCAGTCCAGGCCAATAAAAATGTTTGTATTTTGGCTCAAGTTTTCCTTACTCCCAAATAACTTCCTACTGATTATTCATGTGCTACCTGCAACACTTCCTTTCAAAACCCACAGGAAATACTACTTGATGAACTTCTCCCCATTTCTCATCTGCCTGAAGATGTGGTGGTTTCCATTTCTGGGATATACTCAGGTTCTTCAGTGTATGATTTTTGATACAACTGCTTTAGTTTTTCATCTTTCCATTTTATTTCAGCTAATTTCTCTGACCTAAAAATGTCCACTTTGTCCTCCATCTGTTCTTGTTTTTTCCTCAACCATTTGATCAGTCTCTGATAACTGAACTTTAACTTCCTTATCTTCATTCTTTGATTTCTGCTCCCGTTTCCACCTGTGGCTTTGTGACCTTGTTCCCACACAGTCAGAGAAAATCCCAGGATATACTTCCTGTAACACCTCAGTTGCCTGATTTTCCACTGGCTTTTCAACCACAGTAGGCAACACTCCCACCTGTGGTCCAGCTACATCATTACCAAGGATAAACTGTATTCCTGGAATCGAGAATTTCTCTATTACACCTACTAACACTTCACCACTTTTCACCAGACTCTTCAACCTCACTTTATATCATGGAATTTTTCTTGGATGGGACTGGAAGTAATAGTGGCTCACATTAAAACTTGCCTGTGTACTGTTTTGCCAGCCACTCGTATGCTAATGACCCCTTCTTTGTTGAATCTTTTTTGGAGGAAAACACATGAACAAATGTTATTATGCCATCATGGGCAATGGGAAGACATCAATAAACATTGTGACATTTGGGATTTTACACAAGAGTTTCGATTATGAGCTTTTTTTCCCAACTACAGATTGTTAGTTCTTGTTGGATATATTCTTGTTAGTTTCATTGTATAACTAGCAGTATACAACTACCTCACCATTGTCACTGTTGTTCCCCATCTCCAGTAATTTCATAATGAATAAAAAGTGTCAAAAGGAATTCTTGTAGTGCAGAAGTAACAGCCCCACCTCTGACCCAGAAGCTGTGTTCAAGTCTTACTCTAGGACTTGACAGCTAAGGAAATCATGCCAATAAATGCCAATGATGGGTGGTAAGAACTGAAAATTTGTTAAGAATTAGGCTGCATTCAGAGTGGTCAGAGGGGTGGTGAGCTGACCTCTCGAGGTCAAGGAGGGGTGTGTCTTGAATCCAAATTAAACACTTGTGGCTCATTTGTCCATCAGAAAAGTTGATGCTTGACCTCTACAAGGAACTGAGAAGATACCAGGTGGTCTGGGTCTCTGCCCACTCAATATAAACTATCTCCATGATACAAGAACCCACCTTTTAACATTAAAGAGCATAACACCACAGGACCCTACCTCGTAACACTGGATCAAACAAAATTTTTCACCCTCCTCAAAGCCTGTTTGGGTGAGACATTTCCCATATGCCCATGTCATCAGTCAGTAATGCACAGCAACTTTAGAAACTATGTTTGGGAAAGCATATTTTCATAGAACTATAAAATGTGCACACCCATGTATTTGTATATACCTTCACCAAGTGGAAGAGTACTTTCTGGGCAACTCAGGAAAAAAAATTGACAAGTACATTCAAATCTGTAAAGTTCCCTAATCTAACAATTAAATTCCATCTTCACGGAATTACATTCTTGACCAAATATTAACAGCATTTTTATTCAACTTATTATGTGATTCACTAATAATAAAAACCCACGCTAAGCTTATTGGAGGGGAAGTCAGTTTATTTCCGTTTTTAAAAAACAGGATGGTGTATTATTTAAAGCATCTTCTTTTGCATATACATTTACAGTTGTAAACTTTGAGAAGTTCATGCAGAATCTAACAATATCACATAGTTCTTTTATGGCCAGTTGGCAAAGAGGAAAAATCAATTTATATATCTATGTTACATGGCTTTTGTCAGGGTTGACATTCGAGAACATATTTACAAAATAAGCAGTTAACTTTACAGCAAGTTTGCATAATTCATTGAACTGCACATTGTATATGGAGAAAGTTCATGTTGACAGCTTTGTTCAACGTTCCATTGGAATGCCTAATTTTTTTTTTTAAATGGAAGCTCTGAAATGCTTGCCTGTCAAACAATCTCAATACTGTAGGTAAACAGCAACATAAAACAAATAATAATACAAGCTGGAAAAGTCTGGCTTAAAGCATTTCCCTTTGGGTATCAGGTCTTATTAATTTCCTTTTTGGAGTGCTATAAAGTTTCTTTTGACAGTGCTCCTTTAACCAGGGGTTGGATGATCAGTATTTTATTCCCTGCCTCAATGCTAAGGGTCTTACCCCTTCCCATTGACCCCAATCTTCTCCTTCATGTGGTTTCAATCCAGATGCTCAGGATCAAGGTGGTTGAATTTGGTACTGGATTTTGGACCATTCAGAGCCCATGTTAGGATAACACAAAACACCAGTCATTAGCACAGATGTGTGTGATAGGCAAATAGCACGACAGATGTGCCACACACAGCTCTGTCCAGGCTTATTCCAGCATAGTTCATGGAAAGCAAAATGCAATTTATTTAGAACTATATTGAAAAAAAAAACTACAGCTAGGTAACATTTATATTTAATTTTTTTTAAAAATTACTAAGTTATATTAACATAAATCCCATGGAGTCTGAAAACAGACCCTTGTTAAGAAATGACTTGAAAACATGAGGCACTTTCCAGGGAAAAGTAAATAAAACAAAAATAGCTAACTACAATTACAGATTACAAATCAAACTTAATACCATATTAAAATGACTGTTTAAGGTGCATTTGCACATCGTGGAGTAATGTTCAATTTCATAGACATTCACAAGGTATTTTTTAGATGATGTCATCGGAGAAATATTCATATTTATTGATAGTTTTTGGCAAACGTTGATCATTTTGGAAGTGGATCTTAATACATATAATATTTTAGAATAAACAGTTATGAAGCAAGGGTTCAGCACAATGTTTTTAAATCTGGCACCATTGGTTAAAGATGCGATCTTCATTTAAAGCCATGTTTCTACAAGAACGGACCATGATCTTGCACTTATTTAATGCTTAGGGGAAATACTATCTATTATCTAAGGAATTTCTGCATGCAGTACCAATAAAATGTTCAGCATCAAAATGGTCTATTTGCCATCTTAATGCACCATGTATGCAAAAGCACCAAATTACACGGTACAGCAATTTCAGATTGCATTGAACTCAATGTTATTTCACATAACTAATAAAGTAACAGGTATTTTTCATTTTTGAGATACAGGAGACAAGGGGAATCATAATATTTAGGCTGGTTTACACAGTAGAGTTTGAATCCAGCTAAAGTTATCATTTTGTTAAATCAAAGATGAGTGACTCAATGCTGTTAATCAAATTTCCAGAAACTCTCTGATGTAGAATATGGGGTTGCCATTTCTCTTAATAAGAATACCCATTACTCTACTTCCAAAACCTTTATCTATCTGCCCATCCTTTATATTTTCTAATCAACCTGTTCAGTGATGTTATTACACATCTCTGCAGGAGAAACTTGAACATGGGCCTCCTGGCTCAGGGGGACACTACCATTGCTTATTCTTTATTATATATTTTTCAATGCCAGGCACCTGAGTTATTATGTGACTACATTTCATAGACCTTATGCAAAATATCTGTTGGTAATTTAGTGGCTTTTAATGCAGAAACATGACATTAAAGTGAGTTCACTTCTGGTTCTAGTTAAAAGGTTTTGAAAAATGCATTTTAAGGATTGTTACTGAGTTTTTAATTCGACCTGAGCAAGCTGTGGAGCAAAAGTATCGAAAATTAAAAATTCAAGTAACAGTAGAAACAAAAAAGTGCACAGAAGCACTAATGTAAACAATGCAAACAAAAATATATTATATATTTTATATATACACACATAGGTTAAATGATCAATATTCAATACAAAACCATACAAAATTATATAGCCTCAACTGTAACAAGCCAAAAGCATCAGGAGCCAGTTTACACAATAGTTTATTATTTCTCCCCAACTAACTGCAAGTTTAGCAATGACTGTAGTGATGCCAGTAATAATGTTTATGATATACAGTATCAGATCAGCCATGATTTTATATAATGACAGAGCTAGCTTGAGGGGACATTTGGCCTACTCCAAGCCCTTATGCTCTTAGGAATTTAGTGTCATTGCATTATGTTAAGTAGTAACAGCAAAATATTTGAAATTTAGATGATTGCCAAACTCAAGACATCAGAAATCTAAAATATATGCAGGTGTACATGAACTGTTCATCCCTTCCCCCTGAAATTTAATAGAAAAGCTTTCAAAGCGTGAAATTAGAAAAGGGAAGAACTGCTAGATTTATTAACTGTAAATGGTAAATGTGGTTTGTAAATAAAAGAACAAGTAGCCAATCGATTAATTACAACATTTGATACGGCAGAGAGTCGTCCTAACTAAACCAGGTTCAGGACAGTAAAACAAAATAAACAACTGCAGATGCTGGAGACGTAAAACAAAAACTGAAATTGCTGGAGAAACTCAGCAGGTCTGGCAACATCTATGGAAAGAAAGCAGCATTAATTGTAGTTCTAAAGAAGGATCACTAGGCTCGAAACATTAACTCTTTTTCTCTTTTCACAGATGCTGCCACACCTGAGTTTTTCCAGCAATTTTTGTTTTTATTTCAGGTTCAGGCCAATTCTGGGCTCCCTCTCAGCTAATCTGCACTGGTGAGGCCTTGGTACAAAACCCTCACATGCTTGCAGAAAGACAAACAGTACTAGTATTGTCTAGGTGTGTCCACTAGGTGATGGTCCATGGAAATTGGCATATCAATTAGTTGTAGCACTGAAGTAAATCAGACAAGTCCTGCAAAGGAGCTTGAATCCATAATCTTGAAGAGTGTTACAATGGAACAATATGCTGCAGTGGGTAGGGATCAAAGAGGATGAGGGACTGTAGATTCTTTCTGAGTGTATGAACTAAAATGGGCTGAATGTTTCATCTACCTTGTGAGTGAAGTGCATGAACAGTATTGGGTGAAGTTTCAAGTTAAGTACATGTATCCTTATCTCTTTCTTTGGTTGATGGTGTGAATGGGGTTAGGGAATTAAAGGGTTGCTGCCAGATAATAAGAACGCTCAAGTCAGGGACACAATACAGAACCTTTGCCATTTGTTTCAAAAGTACTGAGCAGCCTGTGAAAAAAGCAATGTTGACTTTGGATGCAGTTGCTAACTGTCTGAGCCATGGAACCATGCTGTTTTGGCAGAATTTGGAGTTAGTCTAAATTATCTATTAACTGAGTTATTAGCCACATTGCCCCACATTTTATTTAACATGTGACAGAATATACAACTTAATTGCGCTGTGTTCAACTGGGGAATCCAACCTATAATTGACAGGAAACAGGCAGCTGTCCCATAAAACCAGGGTAAAATTACTCTTTCATTATGGACTAATTATTTGACCTATTGAATTTTGTGTGTTGCAAGTTTAGAAAAATCTAATCTTATCAGTTACCTCATTTTGGAATAAATTTTAAAACACCAAGATCTGCTCCTATCAGCAACTTGAGGCAGCCGTTAAGTTTATCTGTGGCCTATGAACTTCTATGGTGTTCAACTGAAAATCTCTCCAAAGCACAAAGCCAAACACGACCCCACTCTCATGTGTGAATTAGTGCAACTATAACTATATTCATGTGATCCTGTGATATGCAAAGGTGACATCAGCATGACAAGTGACCAAGATATTAAACTTATAAGTGCAAGTTAACTAAATGTTATTTCTAACTGGTTGAAGAGCAGAAAATATGTGGAATGTTTATGGTGAAAAGCAAAAATGGGTGAAAAATGTAAAAGGACTCTATGGAAATTACATTTCCAAAACTAATCTGAATTCTTTTTTGTACAGGTCCCTTAACAAAATCATTTTTTATTTCTTTATTATATCATCTGGTCCACCAAAACCTCCCCAGCCGCACTTTGACTGCCTGATTAATGTTCCAGAAAGGACAGACCAGTTTTGGTGTATAGATGTTTCAATGGACAGCTATTTTTGGTGTGCAAAGCCAATGTTAACTGGCATTCCTGCACCTGACTGAGATCAATCAGCTCAGCAAAGTCAAGAATAAAGACCAGGATCAAGCCAGAGACCATTCTCAACCAAAGCTACTGATGGGATTAACCATCTGGAGAATATCAGAGGACCTTTTTGAACGCTGTTGTGACTACAGACTGCATGTAGAATTGATGTGAACTCCATGATACTACACTGTCCCTTTAAAGGTGCAGGGTGTACTGGACACTAAGTACTACCTCAGTTTATCGTATTGTGATTAATATCAAATTTTATGTTCAAATTCATACTATATGTTTTACATATCAAACAGTAAAATACCACTAAAAATCTATGCTAAAGCAGCACTGAATCTATGAAAAACTATTTGACAAATGTTTTAAAATCTGTTTCAAATCATATTTACATCAAAATTCAACATCACATACTGGGACCATTCTGTTATAATGATAAAAAGATGCACAATTCATGAAATACTTCTCTCACTAATAAAGACAATTTATCAAATATTTTAACATAGAGATAGCAACTGCAAGAATGGCATTTTAGTTAAGTCACAAAATGTTATGTTATCTTGTTAGATTGGGAATTGAATCTTTAATAAATAAATACAAATTATAAATAATTCTGTGATTAGTGCATTAGTTGTAGAAAATTATATAGTTACTTGTTTTAAGAGAACAGGTTTAGCCTTTTTACAAATTGATTTCTTAATAACTAAATATAAATTAAATCTGTTATGGAATAGTAGAATGTTAAATTGTAATAAGCAAAACCTATTCTTGGATAGGTTAGAAAACTTTAATCAAGTACCCTGTTGATGAGAGTTCCATGACTGAATTCTGTAGCAAATATTTAAAACAAATTAAGCGCTGTCAACTATCTGATCTGTCCACAACCATGAATTCACTAATTTTCTGAGGGTCAAAAATAAAGGAGGGGATTGGACAACTTCAAGTATCATGAACCTTATCTTCAAAATTATGCATGGATTTGGAATTCGCCCCGCTCCCCCGCTGCGCTTGTTGCACCCTGCAATTCCTGTGGAAGTGCAGTAAAACCCCCATTTTGGAAATGACAGGATTTATACCACATTTCTAATGAAGTTATGGCAGCAGGGTGGATGCAGCTGCAAGGAACTTACTGGCCTAGTGCTTCACCCCATTTAACATACCAGTAACCAGTTACCAGCCTCAAGCACTAAAAATCACTTACTGTTGACATTTTTGCTAAGCGCTCACGGTTACACGTATTTTGATTTCTGGTTGAACTAGTTAATTAAGGATGGCTTTCTGACACAATTGGTTCTTAGATGAGGGACATTTAAGCCAGTCAAACATGGTTTTATTCTGATTGCTTCTTTAATCTACATTCTCTCAAATTCAGAGAAAATCCTCAATGGAAATCCAGCAATTGAACAGAGTGGACCTCCACCCAAGATTCCTTTTTGGGATTATTAAACACACCCTAGGTTGTTCTTAAAGTGCTCACAGCAAACAGATCAGCACAAGGCTGCAATCTGGCCACCTTCACCAATTCTCAGTCAAGGATGGTATCCAGAAAGGGCAAAATGCAAGAACGTGAAGTGGAAAAAATGATAAAATATTTGGCAAATAAGTATCAAATTCTGTCAATATTTAAATTCAGTGAAAGGACATTTGGATTTGTGCCCCACTCAGCAAGTTTCAATCACAGCAATTCTAGTAGGAAGTGCTAACTTTAGAGCCAAATCAAGAGAGTAGGAATTACAGGATAATATGACAAAGATTTCACTGAGAAATAGCTGTATGCTACTACAGTTCAGTGAAAGGAAAGTTACATTTGCCTATAATTGTTATGTGATGCTATTTTGTTAATTAGTTTTTCTTGCTAGAAAGAAGTTTAACCATGTATCACACTTCCTTTTCTTTCTTTTTGTTAACTGAAACTGAGAGATAACAAGTTCTACTTGCAAAATATGCAAAACAAGTGAAACATACTTTGTATTGAGCAGGATACACCCTAGAAAGACAACTGCAGTGAATTCCAGATCAACCATGTTAAACTGAGCAACCAAAACTGAGATTTTTAAAATTAAAACCGATTGATAATAGAAGGAAAAGCAAGTTCAAAAAAATGGTTGCTTTCATACTAACTATAAAAGCATGATCAAAATGTTAGTTTCTAAAAACACCTAAACTGCACCAACCAGTAACTACATACAACCAATTTACTATCATTTGCTTTTTTTAGCCCAAATCCACATTGCTCCACTATAGCCCATAGTTATGTCAGCACCTAAAAGCAAAAATAAGTTAATGTTTGGTTAAAGGTCCTTCACCAGAATAGTTAACTTATGGGTCTCTAGTTTAATTTGCTGGTGTTGTGTGACTTCTGACTTAGTTGGAGTATAACCTGTGTTTTTAGTTTGCATTTCTTGATTTTTGCAAAGGTCACTTAAAAATTCCAATCAGCCACTTGTGAATATAGGTCTGATGTCTGCAGAAAGAATTATATCAGAATTCTTAACTTTCAGATGGAAAGTCGCTCTCTCTAAGCCTGTGAAAGGAAGCCAGTAAAATCTCCCCAGAAACTATGTAGGGAACTGAAAAAGGTCATTTTTTACTGGCATTTGTTTCAGTGACAGCAAGAGATCATTCAAGGCCCTGCAGAAACTATTCTTAATGAAAAAGATTTTTTATTGAAGTCATTTTGAAATAATTACCTGTTATTTACAAATAGTGCTTTACTTTTTTTAAAAAAAGGAGTATTTTGAATGTCTCTTTAGCATATTTCTTCAGAGGAAAAGAGTGAAAATTAGAAAAATTCAAAGCAACAGAAAGACAATATTTCACAAAGTGGAGATCGTTTGAATGAGGGAAGATAGTAAAAGTGCAGTAATTACTGCTACTTTAACTTGGAATGCTAGGTTTTAAGCTTATCTCTCAAGGAGAAGGCATTTTTTTAAAAAACTTGTTAATTGGGGAAAAAGACAAACCCATTAATTGGCCTAGCTCCTGATATTTTAGCCTAAACTAATTTCAATCAGAGGTACTGATGGAATCGAGAGGAGGGTGCATATTTCTGAGCCTTTGTGTCTGTTACAGACTTGGCAGAATTTGAGTCACTGTCTCTAGCTTGGCCTGATGTCAAGCCAGTTGATGGGGATGACAGTGAAGTAGGGTGCTGACATTCTGAATTGTTATTGCTATTTGAATGCTTATTATTGGGTCCTGGCTGTTTAGGATGTAAACTACCAGTCTGGTGAATCAAACAATTTTTTGATTCTAAATCAATTGGTTGTACATTTCCTCCAGTATCCGAAGTTTCCCTCAAATCAACATTTTGCTCAAACTGATGCATGGTGGGTGGTTTGCCCGACCTGTGGCCACTGTCTTTACTTTCCAGTGGTTTATCCTTGCATTCTCTAAAGTGAAACTCTGATAAGTCATTCTGCACCACTACTGTGTGTCTCCTCCTAATGTTCTTCTTTCTCCTGGTCTCTGGAGAGTTCTGTTTTCTCAGCCCTACTCCAAACATATCATCTGCAGAAGTTTTCAATCGCAGTTTCGTGTGATCAGTCAGCGCTCGTTTTGATGTTTGGGTTACATCATTTTTGTCAGGGTCATACTTATGAATATTATGTTTGTTGGTGGGATTGGGATAATTCAAATTATCAAACAGATCTATTACCACTGGGGACTCATTACCTTCATTGATTTTTGCATTAAGTTCATGTTCTGTTTTTGGTTTGGTCAACTTCTTTCTAGCCAATGTATCGCACTGGATTAATCTGTGAGAATTAAAAGATGGTCTACTGTTGAGCTTGTGTGCTGGAATCCCTTCTTTGTCAGAGCTTGTGTTGCTATCCGACTCACGGCGACAAAACCTGCCTCTTTCCTGCTGTGAGTGCGAGGCCTTGCCTGGCAGTGTCCGTGTAAGATAGCCACTTTCATTGTCTGTTTCAATGGGGCCTCCACACTCACTGATGAGCTCACTTCTTTCATCATCAGCTTCATCACCCCTGCTTTCTGCAATCGATTGTACCTCAGAACTGAAGTTGTGATCTAGGGTTGTTACTGTGGATGAAATTGTCGAATATCCTGAAACAACGGAGCTAGCATCAGTGGGAATTGTCTCTCTGTGCTCCATCTGCCACATTTTCAGCTTGGAATTTCTGGAAAATATTTCACTATTATTGTGAGACTGAGGACTTACAATAGTTGTCTGGCTACCTGTACTGTTTCTTCCTTCTGAATCCAATAATTTGAGGGAGGTTCCTTCTTTAAATGAACATTCAAGACCAACTGAGGATGGACTACATTGTGGAGATGAAGAGTTTAGAGTGGCCTCATCAACACTCTCCCACTGGGATCTCTGAATATGGTTCTGTTTGGAATTATCAGATTCTCCTGACATCTTTTGAAGTTCTTTATTAGCAATAGGTTGACGAATTTGCTGTACACCTCTGCTCCTGGTATTTGCCAATTGTCTCTCCTTCTGTTCAGTTGCATCTTTCTGTCTGTCTGCTCCTGTTTTGTCTACTGATCCTTCCTTGTTAATAGCCTTAATAGGTTCATGTTCTGAATCATCATCTGTGCTACTCTCAAGCACCTTTGCCTCTTTTTGCTTTTTTCTCTTACGGTTGGCCGCTGCAAAGATTGACATCACCAGCTCCTTGTTGTACAGGTCCTTTCTGGATCCCCATGATCCCTGTAATTATGCATAACAAAAATTAGTTCCCTTAATATTACTGAAATGTTACTAAACAAAAGTATATTACAGTAAGAGGAGTAACATTTTGAGTAAAGATTCTTCACCTGAACTCAGTTCTACTGAAGGTATTGTTCTTAAAATGTTAACTGGCCTTTCACCTGCTGATTGATCATCTGCAAATTTTTCGCATTTCTGACTTTCTCTTATTGGTGTTTAATTATAAAGTCTGTTTTCTTTTGTGTAAAGTCGCCATAATTCCAGAGGACTATAGTGCTGTTCTCTCATTACAGACACAACTGGTGTTGAGAGGGGCAGGTTGAGAAGAATGGACCTTCATGGTAACCTCAGCCGGTACAAGAACAAACCTGTCCTACTGGCATCACTCTGCATCACCAACCAGCCAACTAAGCTAACCAACCCCCTGCCAATGAAGCAGAAACACACAGGACATGTAAAGATTAAGGGACCACAGTTAAACTGTAGCTACAGGCAGGGTAATAGAATCAAAGATACAAACAAGTTTACAATAGGAAATTATCCACTGCTTAACAGTCAGAGTTGTACAGCACAGAATCAAAGCCTTCGGCCCAGCTCGTCCATGCCAACCAGATATCCTAAATTAATCTCGCCCCATTTGCCAGCATTTGGCCCATATCCCTCTAAACCCTTCCTATTCATGTACCCCATCTAGAGGTCTTTTAAATGCTGTTAATTGTTCCAGCCTCCACTACTTTCTCTGGCAGCTCTTTCCGTACAAGCGCCACCCTCTGTGTGAAAAAGCTCCCCCTTAGCTTCCTTTTAAATCTTTCCCCTCTCACCTTAAACCTATGCCCTCTAGTTTTGGACTACCATACCCTGGGGAAAAGACTTTGACGATTCACTCAAGCCATGCCCCTCATGATTTTATAAACTTCTATAAGCTCATCCCTCAGCCTACAATACTCCAGGGTAAATAGCCCCAGCCTGTTCAGCTTCTCCCTGTAGCTCAAACCCTCCAACCCTGGCAACATCCTTGTAGATCTTTTCTGAACTCTTTCAAATTTAACATCTTTCCTGTAGCAGGGATATCAGAATTAAATTCAGTATTCCTAAAATGGCCTAACCAATATCCTGTACAGCCTCAACATGACTTCCCAACTCACATATTCAATGCACTGGCCAATAAAGACAAGTGTATCAAATACCTTCTTCACTATCCTATCCACCTGAAGCTCCACTTTCAAGGAAGTATGAACCTGCAAAGGTCTCATGGTTCAGCAACACTCCCCAGGACCTTACCATTGAGTGTACAAGTCCTGGTCTGATTTGCCCTACCAAAATGTAGCACTTCACAGTTATCTAGATTAAACTCCAATTGCCACCCCTCGGCCCTTCAGATCAAGGCCTCATTGACCTCTGAGGTAACCTTTCTCGCTGTCCACTACTTCACTAATTTTGGTGCATCTGCAAACTTACTAACTCATGCCTCCTATATTCACATCCAAATCATTTATATAAATGACAAAAAGCAATGGACCCAACACTGATTCCTGCAGCACAGCGTTGGCCACAAGCCTCCAATTCAAAATGCAACCCTCCACCATCACTAAATAAAAACCGAAAGAACAGTGGATGCTGTAAATCAGGAACAAAAACAGTTCTGAGTAAGGGTCACTGGACCCAAAATATTAACTCTGAATTTTTCTTCACAGATGCTGTCAAACCTGCTGAGTTTTTCCAGCAACTTCTGTTTTTGTTCCTCCACCATCGCACTCTGTCTCCGACCTTTGAGCCAATTTTATATCCAAATGGCTAGTTCTCCCTGTATTCCATGTGATCTAACCTTGTTAACCAGTTTATCATGCAGAACCTTGTCGAATGCCTTACTGAAGTCTATAGACAATATTCAACACTCTGCCTTCATCAATCCTCTTTATCACTTCTTTAAAAAACTCAATTTAGTGAGGCATGATTTCCCATGTACAGAACCATGTTGACTATCCTTACTCAGTCCTTGCCTTTCCAAATAGGTGTAAAATCCTGTCCCTTAGAATACTGTCCAACAACTTGTCCACCACTGATATCAGGCTCACCGTCTATGGTTCCCTAGAGTTTCCTTAACACCTTTCTTAAATAAGATGGTGGACAGGAGAAAATTGTGGCTGTAACAGCTGCTCCATTTTTGAGGTTTTTTGTTCAGTGTTGGAGCTGATTTCCTTGATTTCTTGGAGCAGTAACTACTATTTTCTAAGCTGATGCATTGTTTTGAAACTTTGGGAAAAAAGATCCAAACAGTACTTTAAAACATGAGGGAGAGCAGGTACCACATGGGAGGGTAAGGAGTAAATGACAGGTGGGGATACAGCCAATCACATCACATACGATTCAGGGTGAGCGTGTCAATTATACAAAAAATTGGCTTAGCTGTAGGAGACAAAGAGTGATGGTGCAGGGCTGTTTTTTGGACTGAAGTCCTGTGATCAGCGGTGTTCCACATGGATTGGTGCTGGATCCACTTTTGCTGTTATTTATATAAATGATTTAGATGAGAAACCCACCGACTCACACAGCTACCCTGAATATACATCCTCACACCCTATTTCCCATAAAGACTCTATTCCATTCTCCGAGTTCCTCTGTCTCCGTTGCACCTATTCTGATGATGCCAACTTCAACAAGGGAACCTCCAAAATGTCTGCCTTCTTCATCAACCAAGGATTCCCCAGCAGTGTTGTCGACAGGGCCCTCAGCTGGGTCTGACCCATCTCCTGTACTTTGGCCATCGCCCCCTCTCTTCACTCCCACAACAGCAATAGGATCCCCCTTGTGCTTACCTACTATCCCACCGGCATCCACATTCAGAAGATCATCAACTGCCATTTTCGCCACCTCCAGACACATATTCCTCTCCCCTCCCTTGTCAGCCTTCCACAGGGACCATTCCCTCTGGGACATCCTGGTCCACTTTTTCTTCAATCCCAACACCCTCACAGCCCCCATCCCCAACTGCACAGCACCTTCCCCTGCACCCGCAGAAGGTGTAACATCTGTCCATTTACTTGCTCTGTCCTCAGTATTCAACGGCCCAAACACACCTTCCAGGTGAAGCAGCACTTTACCTGCACCTCCCACAATCTAGTTTACAGCATTCCCTGCTCACAATGTGGTCTCCTCTGCATTAGGGAAACAAGCATAGACTGGGTGACCGCTTCGCAGAACACCTACATTCTGTCCGCAAAACAGATCCTGAGTTTCCAGTTGTCTATCACTTCAACATACTACGCTGTTCTTTGGCCAACATCTGTCTCAGGCTTGCTACAGTGCTCCAGCGAAGCCCAGTGCAAGCTGGAACATCACCACCTCATTTTTCGCTTGGGAATGCAACAGCCTTCTGGACTCAATTTTAAGTTCAACCACTTTAGGACTTGTGTTCTCCCATATCCTCACCCCAACCCCCACACTCCAGGCCTTGTTCAGTCTGTTATTACACACAACCCATCGTTAGCACTGACAGTCTCTATTAATAGCTATGCACCTTCTTAGTCGGATTGTTATCGACCCCTTTGTCTGTCCAACTGTTCTTCTCACTCTTTGTGCTCTATCCCCACCTATTGTTTACTCCCCCCACCCTAACTTCTGCACATAAACCAACATTTTCCTAGCTACCATCAGTTGAGGAAGGGTCACTGTACCCAAAACGATAACTCTGATTTCTCTCCACAGATGCTGCCAGACCTGCTGAGCTTTTCCAACAATTTCTGTTTTTGTTTCTGATTTACAGCATCTGCAGTTAAATCAGTTTTATTGGAGAAAATTACTGAATGAATGGGACGAGGACGTCGCTGGCTAGGCAGCATTTATTGCCCATCCCTAATTGCCCAGAGGCCAGTTAAGAGTCAACCACATTGCTGTGGGTCTGGAGTCACATGTAGGCCAGACCAGGTAAGGGTGGCAGTTTCCTTCCCTAAAGGACATTAGTGAACCAGGCGGGTTTTTCCTGACAATCGACAATGGATTCATGGTCATCATTAGACTCTTAATTCCAGATATTTTTTGAATTCAAATTCCACCATCCGCCATGGCAGGATTCGAACCCAGGACCCCAGAACATTATCTGGGTCTCTGGATTAACAGTCCAGCGATAATACCACTAGGCCATCATCTCCCCATACCTTCTTTTCTGTGCAATTCCTTATGATTTATTGTCACCAGAGATAGTGCATCTTTTGATCTTGAAGGGCATGCTTCAAAATTCTCCATGGATTAAAAAGCATTTAAAAGATACAGTTTAATTTATTTTGACGCATGTTGATTTGCTCTCATTGGATTATTAATATGAGATTCTTGATGAGTTGCTGATGCTATGGCATTAGAAATCAAAACTACTCCCTGTCATCCTACCTAAATCAAGTCATCAAAGGGTATCTCTTCAGTGAGAATCAGTTTAACTAAACAGAATAACAACGGTATTATCCTTATTAAATGACATTTGATTAACATAAATTGTGGGGCCTCTTGCAGAAATATTTGTAACACCTGTAACTGTGGGTGAGGTGCCGGATGACTGGAGAGGCGTTAATGTCATGCCTTTGTCTAAGAAAAGATGTAAGCAGGGCTGGGAACTATAAACTTGTGAGTTTGAGTTTGGTGGTGGGTAAATTATTAGAAGTAATTCTGAAAGATAGGTTTTATCTGCAGTTGGAGAGGTAAGGAATGATTAGGGATAGTCAGCATGGTTTTGTGTGAGGGAAATCGAGTCTCACAAACTTCAATGAAATCGTTTTTTGAGGAAGTGACCAAGAAGACTGATGCGGGCAGAGCAGAAGACATCGTTTACTTAGACTTTAGTAAAGTCTTTGACAAGGTTCCGCATGGTAGACTAATTAGCAAAGTTAGATCACATGGTGAGCTTGCCAATTGGCTTAACGGCAGGAGACAGAGTGATGGTGGAGGGTTGTTTTTCAGACTGGAGATCTGTGAACAGCAGTGTTCCACAGGGATCGGTGCTGGGTCCACTTTCGTTCGTCATTTATATGAATTATTTAGATGTGACTTTAGAAGGCATGGTTAATAAGTTTGCCAACGACACCAAACTTGGTGTAGAGTGGACAGTGAAGAAGGTTGTCTAAGATTACAAAATATCTTGATCAATTGGGTCAAAGGGCTGAAGAATGGCAGATGGTATTTAATTTGGATAGACGCAAAGTATTGCATTTTGGTAAAACAAACAAGGGCTGGACTTTTACAATTAAAAGTGATGCCTTGGGTAAAGTTATGGAACAGAGATCTAGGCGTTCAGGTACATAATTCTTTGAAGTAGACATGGTGGTTAAGAATGCATTTAGCACGCTTTCCCCCATTGCTCAGACCTTTTCAGTATAGGAGTTGGGACGTTATGTTGAGGCTGTACAAGATATCGGTGGGACCTCTTCTGGAGTACTGTGTCCAGTTCAGGTTGCCCTGTTATAGGAAGGGTATTATTAAACCAGAGAGGGTTCAGAGGAGATCTACCAGGCTGTTATCAGGAACGTAGGGTTTGAGTTATAAGGAGAGGCTGGATAGGTTGGGAGCTTTTCTCACTGGAACGTAGGAGGTTGGGGTGACCTTGTAGAGGTTTACAAAATCATGAGCAGTATAGGTAAGGCGAATGACAGGTGTCTTTTCCCTACCATGAGGGATTTCAAGAATAGGGGGCATATTTTTTAGGCGCGAAGAGAAAAATGTAAAGAAGACGCAAAGGACAATTTTTTTTAAAACACAGAGAATGGTTCGTATGTGGAATGAACTTCCAGAGGAAGTGGTGGATGTGGGTACAGTTACAATGTTTAAAAGACATTTAGATAAGTACATGTTTAAGAAATGCCTGGAGGGATATGGGCAAAGCGCAGGCAGGTGGGACTAGTTTAGCTTGGGATCATGGTCAGCATGGACTGGTCGGACCGAAGGGTCTGGTTTCCGTGCCGTATGACTATGACTAGCAATTGAGTCTTACCAAATGCAATTATAATATGTTTTAATTATGAATATGTAATTAAGTGTGCTTTCCTCTTCTTAAGAAATTCTGAGAAGCAGGAAGATACAGCACCATCAAGGCTAATGAAAATCATGGAGATAGCTCAATTGGTGGTGGTTAAGTTAAACGAACTGGGTTTTACATAGGATTTTTGGCATCTGAAGATTATAGGAAGACAAAGACATTTCAGTTTTGATTTTTATGGAAGAATATCCTACAGGCAGTGAGATTTGTCTTGATTTAAATAAAGTTAAGATGTGTGGAGAGATTATAGCATGTTAGTCAGTAGGCACGTGTAAATCTTAGGAAAAGAAGAATGTTTAGAAACAGTAGCTGCAGTTACTGGGAAAATAGATGAATATCTAAAGTTTCCAAATATTATAGTCCTTACCTTAGACTTTGCTGAATCACTTGTAGTTGAATCTGTAAGTTTAACAAAAACAAACATACATTAGGGGCTGTTCAGCATATTAGTTATCAGTACAACTAACATGGTTAATGATAAACGTTAGGATCACAAGACAAAACAGTTGTGTCAATGGGCCACAAATAAAGCAGAATGCTGTAATATTGCAAAGGACTTCAAACGTAAATTAAAAATTAAAAGTAATTATTTGCATTTTCAGTATTTTTTGCTTTGACAATACAATTGAGGATTTTCTCCTTAAAAGTAGAGATCAAAGTGCAAGAAATAAATGATTGACATTAAGGATATCAGCTACTTGTTTAATTATCAGAATCAAAAATAATGTGCAATTTAAGTCACCTAGGAAAAGAAGAAATCAGATGCTACACCTGTGTTTTAAAGGAAGGGTTCCTGCAAGAAATTTGAATACAACCATTTTTCGCAATATCCATTAGCTACTCTCTCAAGAAACTTCAGCCAATACAAGAAAATATGAAAATGCAAATCTCTGATTATGTATGAGTAACTTTGTTCAGCAAGCATTGTATTATGAACTCCAACACAAACAAACATTCAGACAAGCCCATTGGGAATTAACTACTAACATAGGTATTTCTTATTTGGTGACTTTGCTAAGGAGGAATTTGCTGGAATACCACATATTGAAGGCAAGAGACACCAGTAAAGCATGTGACTTCTAACTATAGGCCGCACAGAACTATTTGGTTGAGTTAAGGTATAGTGGTGATCCCCAGTGACCAGTAATAGCCATTGTTAGAAATGTTCTTTTCTTGGTGTCTTTTGATATTCATTAGTCCCTGGATACTAAGGTAAACAAACAATCTTGTCTACAGTTCAAACCAGTGTTACACATGTTGGTTAAAGAGACTTGTGTGAAATGTAGCTCTGTTGAACTCACATTTGACTTTGTTCTTTTGTTCTCTCTCTCTCTCTCTCTGGGAAAATATCTCTTCTCCAAATGGCCCCAACACCCCACCACATGGGATCAAATCAGGAGCTTTCCATAAAAAGAACTAAATCCACATCCTCTAATTTGGTTATGAAACGAATCAGACTTTCAATGCAGTACACAATCCTATAATCCAAGGCTTCCTGTAACGTTAAGAAAATTTTCTGCTGAACCTAAGATCTTCCAAGTTTAAAATAAGGTTCACTCTTCACTAGTTCAACTAAGTCAGACACCAGCTGCTAGTTTCCCGTTTACCTGATATACTAGAGTAATTGCAGTCTATTTGAGATCACAACATGCAATAGAATGATGTCATTCAGATTTTTTTTGAAAGGTAAATAAACACACATGCTGTTGATCTGTTTGCTGAATCAGTCCTCAGGGAGCTAAATCTCACTATTGACGTTTTTGGCCTATTTTCCCTGAAGCCTCAACTGAATCATGACAGACGAAGGGCAGCACCAAGTGCTAGATGAATTCACTGCATTGTGCTAGGCCAAACTATCCGATAGGCATTGTTTAAGGTTACATGTTCTGCAGATGCGCTAGAAATCAGAATATACTACCCATTAATACACCCAGTGACTGTATCAATGAGGGGTGAACTGTTCATTCAGAAAAATAAAGAACGGACTTAATTTTGTACCGGAAAGTAGAATATCTCTATAAATATAAGAAATAGAAGCAGAAGTAGACCAATAGGCCCCATGAGCCTGCTCTGCCACGGAATAAGATCACGGCTGATTTGTTTGTCTTTCAAATTCCACATGTCCATCTACCCCCGATAACCCCTGATTATACTGCCTAACAAGAATCTATTCACCCCTTCGTAAAAATCAATGACTTTACCTCCACAATCTTCTGAGGCAGAGATTCTGATTTCTTCTCAACTCTGTCCTAAGATGGTGATACTTAATTTTAAAACAGTGCTTTCAAGTTCTGATTGACCCACAAGAGGAAATATCCTTTCCACATTCACCTTGTCAAGCCCATTCAGAATTTTAGTTGTTAACAGCCATCGCTGTTCTGAACTCCAGTAGAAACATGCCCAGCCTGTGCAACCTATCTATATAACAGAACCCACTCATTCCAGGTATTAATCTACTAAACCTCCTCTGAACTGTTTCCAAAGTATTTACAACCTTACTTAAATGAGGAGACCAAAACTGTACACTGTATTTCAGATGTGGTCTCATCAATGCCCTATATAACTGAAGCATAACACCCTTACTATTATGGTCTGGCAGCATCTGTGAAGGAGAAAACAGAGTTAACGTTTCGGGTCTGGGGACCCTTCCTCAGAACTGAAGAAGGGTCACCGGACCCGAAACGTTAACCCTGTTTTCTCCTTCACAGATGCTGCCAGACCTGCTGAGCTTTTCCAGCAACTTTGTTTTTGTTCCTGATTTACAGCATCTGCAGTTCTTTTGGCTTTTATTTACCCTTACTATTATGTTCATTTCCTCTTCTAATAAAGGATAATATCCTATTAGCTCTCTTGATATATATGCTGTACTTGCAAACTAACTTTTGTGACTCATGTACCAGAACATCCAAATCTCTTAATTGCATACATCAAGTGTTAACATCAAACACAGGTTATGTCTTAAGAGTTCAACAGAGGACAGATAATCCTTAGCTCTATCCTACTCTAGCATTACATAAGCTTGAAGGAAACATACCGAGCCAATATGCTACATTCCATTTTCCAGGTCAGTCATTTTGTGCTCTCTTCAAATGAGACTATCAATTTAGTCCAGACTTAACGCAGTTTTGCTCAGTGGGTCCATTCCCACCCGGAACTGGACTGTGATTGCTCAAAACTCCTTTCAGGTTAGAATGAAATTCTTTTCTAGTTGTAAGGCTCCAACTGTGTAAGTTGGATTCAAACTCAGATTCTGGGCAAAAACTGATGTCTTAACTAACCACTGTCCAGCTCCCAGGTTTAATATAAACACACATTTAATCAGCACATTAGGTTTCCTACTTAAGTTTAAATTAAAATTACAGCTTCATTGCACTACATGAACACATTTACTTCAATGCGGATCTTTACCAATGCTCAGCCTTCAATGAACTATAAAATCCAACCCAGCAATTTCTTAGAACAGAATGGAGCTTGTGTATATACTGTATAAATGCAGAAACTCACTAATTATTGCAAAATGTGTAGGAAATTTGCCTGAGTTTGTCATGATACTGCACGGGCAAGAGAGGAGTATTTTCATGGGAATTTTTTTCCAGAGCCATTATATTCAGGTTTCTTTGGTATTTTGGAAGTTATTGCTAGGAATGTGATGTATTTCTGCTAGTAGGAAGCCTCAGTGAGCAATGAACAAACGAGCAGCCCTGAAGATGGCTAGAAGTATTTTAATATATTCCACAGGTCTGTCAGGTATAAGACATGTTCTTTTTGGACACAAGATACTGTATTTCTCTCCATTTTTAAATGCGTCATTTAGCTTCCCAGTGCACAAGTTAAGCTAATAGAGTATTGCTATAAAAATGTATTTCAAATTATTTTTGTCACTTTGCAGTTGTAGTCTGAATATTGTAAAAGAAAGAAGGGTAATTTACGCTGCAGATGTTTCATTATCGTGCTTGGTAACATCCTCAGTGCAGCCTCTGATGAAGCGTCGGTGTGTTTTCCCGCCTGGTTTTTAAACTCTGGGGTCCGTTGCGATGGATTGCCTCACTTCCGGGTTTCCTCTGTAGTGGAATGTATATGGGGTCAAGTTCAATGTGTTTATCAATAGCATGTTTCGTGGAGTGTCATGCTTCCAGGAATTCTCATGCTTGTCTCTGCCTAGCCTGTCCCAGGATCTTGGTGTTGTCCCAGTCGAAGTCGTGGTTCTCCTTGTCCATGTGGATTGAGATGAGTGAGTATTGGTCGTGTCTTTTTGTAGCCAGTTGGTGTTCATGTACTCTTGTTGTTAGTTTCCTTCCTGTTTGTGTTTCTCGCAGTCTCTGCAGGGGATCTTGTAGATGACATTGGTCCTGTCCATGGCGGGGAGTGGGTCTTTAGTTC